AAAAAGTCAATTCTTCGTATTTTTTTTTCAACCTTTTAAGCTACAGAACAAGAAATTAGTAAAATATTTCAATTATCCTAGTTCACACGAAAACTAGAGGTGTATGAAAGATGTGTACGAAATTATAGCGAAATCGGTTGAAGACTTTTTGAGATATCGTGGGCGCCGCTTCAAGAAAATGCGTTTCGAGAAAAACGCGTTTGAAGTTCAAGTACGTATGACACAAAGATAATTTTACTTACCATTAATCTGCAATGCCTGGACCATACAGTACACCTTCAGTTTCTTCCTGGAAGTCATGCAGAAGTGAATTTTCTTCTCGATTTTGAATCCGAGATTTTTTGACGAAGTCAGACGATTTTCGTTCGGAGCGGTATAGGCGAGCGTTGTCACGGTGCGTCGAATATGTGCAAGAATTGGTGCCAATTTTCAATCCCATTGTTTTCATAATTTTTAATACTCCTTCAAATCCATCGTTAAAAATGATGACTGCCAAAAAAGTAGCTATTTCAACCACCTTAGGCCCAGAATGAATATGTTTTGGGGGGAATGTCCAAATTAGGGAATTCAATTACTCGTTATTATTTTGGGTCTCAGCTCCCAAGCATCTGATTAATAAATCATCTTTTGATAAGTCTTCGTAAATCGGCTTAATTATTTCTAAAACTTGACTTTTTAAAGGAACTCTAGAGTGGTTAAAATTCTTGAGGAGTCCTAAAGCTTCTGCTTTACGCCATTTGCACCAGCTGATTTCACCCTTCGGGCAATAATCGTGCTGCGGATTATCATCAGAAGAACTGCAGTGATAAAAAGAAGCTCAAATCTCTCTCTTCATATCATCTATTGAATCAGGATGCCGTCGTATGGCTAAGCCATAGAAATTCGTCAATTCACCAAAGACTTTTTGAGTTAGTTTACCGTGTCCTTTTCCACCGATTCCCTTGTGATTTTTTTTAATGTTGCGAAGTCTCGTGCACATCCTCTTTTCTACATGACCTACGCACTCCTTTTTCACAACTTGTTTTTCATCTGTATACGGATTAGCATTCAAAATACCTCTGAATGTTTTGCTATCTCCGTCTCCAACGTATGTTAGGTACTTTACGCCATGTTTCTCCATAGAACGTAAAAACATTTCAATAATAGCGTCAATTTCCATTTTACCAGAGCTGCCATTATGATTTATGGAACAATCCTTGTGGTTCGATAACCATTCTTCGTGGAATTGGAGTTTTGGAGTTTTCAGTTTCTCGAAATATCAACAATTGTCGCGTACTGCACCGACTAAGCGAACGTTCTTAGAAAGTTCACATATTGTTCACATATGTAATTGTCAATTGTCACAATTGCGTCTGATATGAAAAAAGACTCGGTTGTTCATAAGCAGAAATCATAATAAACACAAGTACATGACCGAAGAATGACATAATATTGAGGAGGAACGCACGACAGCACCCGCCACCAGCGCGCTCCGAACACCTATTTCGTTCTACGCCTACAACATCTGAACGGCATCGAATTTCAAAAAATCCATTTAGCCACGTATTCTACATGAGTTTTAGATGTTATTCATGTAAAAAAAAAAAAAATGAATTTTTTTGACCCGACACAGTAGAAGACCCCCTTAACGAAAGGGCGAAGAGATCTTTGGCGTGTGGGGGTTCGTCGAACGAGGGCCTCCGGGACGCGTGTACCGAGGCTGATTATAGCGCAGGCCAGGTGGTCCGGGTCAGGCAAAGACTGACTTAGAGGCCGCGCCTCGGTACCCGTGGTAATCCTTTGATTACAGCGTGTTTCGAGCCTCGGCTGAATCACGAGGACGCGCGCGTAAGGTGATATTCCTGAATGGCGGGGCCGGAAGCCGAAACCGGGCCGCATAAAGGAGGATATACAACGGAACGAGGGCGAGAGAGCTAGGACCGGCGCGGTGGGGCGCGTACACGTATAGCTGGGATAGCCCGGTGCTGATGCAGGATACACGGGAACGAGCCAGCATAGCGCATCCGGTGTACTCTCGGGTAATGAAATACAGTAACATTATATCCGCGATATTCATCCGCGATGCGGATGGCAAGCCGCGGTGTACCGTTACACAGAGAACGTTCGGCCGTGCATACGACGCGACGCAACATGCGTGTCACGTCCTGGGAATACGTGTCCAAGGGTATCGCGTACCGTCTGAATTAATCAGGATTCGGGGAAGCCCGCGAGACGACGATGGGGGCGCGAGCAATTAAGAAAGAGGCCAAGAAGCTTAACGGGACCGACCATGGACCGCCCACGCGCCAACTTTTTTATGGCTCGTTCTAGCAAAAATGATAGTTCCGCGAACGGACAGAATTGTCGCACTTTCTTTTTTTTTTTGCTCGTTCTCTCGAATGCATCGTGAAACGTGGCACCGCATCGAACGATATCCACTTACACGCGAACGGCTGACCATACGGAAGCGCCATAAAGCTAATGATCCCTAAGTGATCCGTACCACGACGACATGATGACTGTTGTGTTAGGGAGGATGGGATTACAACCGAATAGAATGGAACGGGATGGAACATCCCATCATTATCCAATGATCTACGTCTCTTTAGCGACGTGCATTGCCACACCTCTTTGCCTGCGACGGTCAGAAAGTCGCTACACGATTTGCCTTTCGTCGACTGCTCTTAACAGAAAATCCAGTTTTAAGATGCATATTATAATATGAAATCGCGTATAATGGGTTCGAGTTAACACTGAATCTACCAAAATCAAATAACCGTTTTTAAAACTTGGTTTAAAATTTCTAACATACAATGTTATTTTAGCGCCATTTAACTTCCCGACTTTTCTTATAGTATAACGTGCAATGAATTTTACAATATTCACTTCTAATCTTATTGTTTATTTTTTGAGAAAAATATATAGTCTGCCTTGCCTACCACGACCGGTTGAATGATTTATATATTTCTGTAAATAACTGGACAAAATTTGATATCAAATTCGAGTTAGCTTCCAATAAAAATCACGTGCGATCAACGACCTTCCCTAAGACGTAGTAAGAGGTTCATTGATCTCGCGATGTAAACAAACACTTCGAACAACCCTTTGTGGTGCTGCTGGCTGAGGGTAGAATCTCGGGAAAATTTCGTAGGAGAGCAGAAAAGAAAGGATGGAGCACATTTCGTCAGGACCTGCTGGTGGACTCATCACTTGGATATTGAGAAGTTGTTCGAAGAATGTATATATAGCAACCGAGGGGTCGGTCGAGCGCTTGTGAGAGCGCGACCCCTCTGGTGGCGAGCATGGGAGGCGACGCCACACCTTATATCTCCGGAACTAGCCACCGCATCGACTTGAAAATAAAATCGCTATATCCCCGAAACTAATTAGGCTATCGACTTGTACAAACGCTCGTTTTAAAGGGCATTTCATCCTCTATCCAATGACTATACCAACTACTATAATTTATGCTGTCTTCTATGTTTATTTTCACATTTACTTTGATGCTATATACATAAAGAAGTTTCAGCAATTCCTATTGAATTTCTATATAACGCCACGCCCAGCCACATCGTACTCAATAGTACGCGTACCAAATTTATTTATCGAGAATAACTATAAAACTAGTCTGCAACGCATACTACGAATCGGTGCCTTATCTAAAAGAGTGAAAGAATAGAAAACTAGTGCTAGTGCGTAGGTAAATTTTAAAAGGAATAAATTAACTCCCAAGCTTTAAATATTAAAAGCAAACGCTAGCTAAAGATAATGGTTAGAGGACACGATTGTTGCAATTTGATTGGTATATCCAATATCGCGTTTCACCAGTGAGTTTAACGTTATCACCACGCTACTTGTCTCGAGCGAGCTCACGCGTATAACGACCTCGAAGACGAATCCTGCGAGGCTTGCTTTACCAAACGTTCCACGGTGTTAACGTATCAGTATGTTTGCCGTCTAAACCACGGTATACCGCAAGATCGTGCCGGCTATCCATCAAGCTCTATATCCGGAGTATAGGATGGCCACCTGTATCTCGCTAAACAAGATTTACCTCGCTATAGATCATCGAGTGCGTGATCGAGTGGTGTTCCCTAGTACGTTCCACGAAAGAAACAATTAGTCCCGGAAGGATAATGGGTACATCGGCTGTCTAGAGGAGGTGATATCAATCGCAGGAAACGCTAGATTTCAGACAACGGACGTCCCTTCTATGGGGCTTCCCAGTCGAATCAACAGAGCTGACGACGTCGAAGATAAATCAAAGCTCTTTAATAGACATTTTGAACGGTACTTATCGGGATTATCAAATTGATCGAACGTAATTTGTAGGCAAAACTATTTATTTCAGCGCGTTTACAGGCACATACACGTTTATGTATATCCGCTACAAACGCACGATTAATGGAACGTTAGAATTGCCCATTGAAAAGTAGACACAGAAAAGGTTTCCGGTGTTGCGGAGTAAGTTTTACCGCAGAATTCCGTGCAAAACCACGGGAACAGAATTACGAGATGGACACAGGGAGACGCGAGAATCGATTAATGGGTGAAATGGCAGTGCGGTTTCACGACAAGTAACAGATATACTATCTTTTTTATGAAACTGGCACGAAGGTAGAGAAATTCGTAAAATATAGAATTTTAGGCCGTAAAATGATTTACGAAGGTCATTCGATAAATAAAAAAAGAAAAGCAAATTATGTAAATTATTTGAATGTACGTACCTCTTACCATTCACTTGACAATGAATTCTTTAATAAAATCCTTTCGAGAAGTGTACTTTTAGAAAAGCAATGGCCTGCTAAGAGATTTTTGGTTTTCGATAATATTACACCACTCGAAATTGTTATTTATCTGTGGGTCTACTAAAGAATGTTAACTGTTTTTTCCAATTGAAAAATCTATCGAATTGACGCGTTCCAAATTTCTAGTCAATGGTGACGAGCATGTGACTGACAGTTCTGGCGGGAGATCTATGGCGCCGAGCACGTGCGAATGGCGTCATACACAAGACACGTGTTGTAACCACGAATCGTGTCCATAGAGTAAACGTTCAAGATGTTAGAAAATTATTTACTAAAGAATCATTTGGGTGACTTGGAGGAGATTTTAAACGCAATGGACGTCAATATTTTCTATTCGATCCACGTAAAGTGAGTGAGTTTTAAATGCGTTTGTTTAATAGTAACCTATGGGAGGTCGTTTTGCAGTTTTGTATCGCTATTCGAAGCAGACGCCGATGTAGCGCAAAAAATTCTGCGTTACCCTAGGCATTATTTGCCAATGTGCGATGAGGCAGCAATAAAAACACAAGAACAAATAGCAAAGCCAGAGCAAAGTGTGAAGAAAAGAGTAATAACAAATTACCATAATTAGTGACATAAAATATAGATATACTTTGAGTTGTGTGCTGCATTAGATAATTTCATTATTCCAAATGTTAATTTAAATGCCATGGACAGGTACGTATCAGAGTTACAGCCGTACCAGTCACGGTGGACCAAGGGCAGATAGGACAACTGGTTTCAACCAGTGGCATTGCGGTGAAAATATCACAGCCAACTGTGCTAAAGCTTACTCAAAGATACAGTTGTAAAAAGTGCAAACATGTCGCTCTTATTAAAGTATGTTGTGCATGTTATAGGATTTCATCTTAAGCCAGATACTTTTGTATTAAATATTATCCCTTTGTAGTACCAGTGGGAAATACAAAACTTTATAGATATTTCTGAATGCGAATCTTGTCATGCAACAAAATTAACAACCCTCACAGATTTTGATCTAGAAGATTCATCTGATTATCAGGAGATAAGAATTCAAGTACATCATTTGACTCGACAATTACTTTACTATTCATTGCTTTGTTAGCTTTTCTAACTTTCAAGTATTCTTAATTAGGATAAAGGCAGAGTAGACACCAACAGGTCTTTTGCTGAAGAAATGCAGATCATCTTATTGGATGATTTGGTAGATAAGTGTAGGCCAGGGGATAATATTGAAATTAGGTGAATTTTTCTTACTTGTACATTTTAATAATAAAAGTAAAATTTCTTGATTAACAAACGTACATTTTTAGTGGTGTAGTTGTACGGATATGGGGACAATTAGAAGTAGGCGAGCGTTCGGAAGCAACGACCATTATGTTAGCAAACAGTGTCTCGGTACGTCGTAAATTATCCGAAACAGCGTCTACCCAAGAGATGAGAGACATTTTCAAGAATTATTGGAAGCAATATACTGATAATCCTTTACTTGGTAGAGATAATATTTTAGCATCAATTTGCCCCCAGGTAGAGCAGTTTAAAGCATAACACTTACTATAAAAAAACATAAATACAGAGATTTATAACCACCATTGTAATTACTCGTAGCTTTATGGGATGTATACAGCAAAATTAGCGTTGGCTATCGTTCTAGCTGGTGGTGTGCCAAAGTGTAATGAAAGCGGTAATTATCTATTGCATTCTTTTATTATATGTTCTCGATACAAAATATACTTAATATTAGACAAAAAAATAAAGGGTCACGGGTACGAGGTGAGCCACATCTTCTTTTAATCGGCGATCCCGGAACTGGCAAGTCGCAATTGCTTCGCGCGGCGTCCCGTCTGGCTGCAAGATCGGTTCTTACAACCGGCATTGGATCAACAGCAGCTGGACTTACAGCGACTGCTGTTAGAGTTAGTTAGCTTAATGCGCGATCTTTTCTCTGTAATAATTAACATTTAAAGCATTCTCGTTTCACATATGCATTATGTAGGATTCGGACGGTTGGCATTTGGAAGCTGGAGCCTTGGTGTTAGCTGATGGCGGAGTCTGTTGCGTAGATGAGTTCACGACAATGAGTTCACAGGATAGGACTTCCGTGCACGAGGCCATGGAACAACAAACGATATCAATTGCCAAAGCTGGGTTAGTAAGTACGCTAAACTCTAGATGTTCGGTCATTGCAGCTATTAATCCAAACGGCGGCCAATTTAATGACGAAGAAGAATGGGAGACGAACTTAGGGAATCCCCTTTTGTCACGGTTTGATTTAATACTTCTTTTAAAAGACAACAGAAACCCGGAATGGGACAAACTGACGTCAGATCACATTTTGAGAGCCGCTTACGAAATTAGAGAAAACACAGCACAAACGTAATCAAAATTTTCTAGTTTTTGTGTTTCGTTTTTATTTATCGTTTCAAGCAGTTTTTATTTTATCAGACATTCGAAAAATCATATTGAGCTTTTGAAATCAGAAGGTCTCTGGAAAGAAGACACTTTACGAGAGTATTTGGCGTATATACATTCTTTGCATCCGGTATTGACGAAAGAAGCTGAACAGGTTCTTAGGGCGGCTTATCTTTATCATAGATCTCACCCAGATAGAAGGGAAGAGAGAACAACAGTACGACTTCTAGATAGTCTTATTAGGTACAAAGAGACAAACATCTTTGAAGAAATGTTATAATTTCTTTGAAAACATTTGAAAATAATTTTCTTCAGATTAGCTGAAGGCCACGCGAAATTAATGTATAAATCAAAAATTGAACTTATGGATGCCGTATACGTAGTTAAATTAATTGGAACAGAAACTACCTTCGAGACAGATCTCGGTTGTCCGTTTCCAACAGATCCTATGGCGGTATACAGGACTGAAGGTATATAGTGTATTATTTTCGTATTAATTAAGTGACTCGTATTGTAATTACTAGAATCGATCATAACCTTGTCTAATCGCGTTCAAAAGTTGATCCATGACGTTTCCCTGATTCCAGCTAAAAAGTTATTACGGATCATTGGCTTAGAACAGCTGATAAATTTGTTGTAAATATTTCCAAAAACGTAAAACCTGTGATCGATTAGTCCGATAAAACAAATTTTTTTTATGAGCAAACTAAATCTTTTATTTGTCACTTTTTATGTTACCGCTTACATAAGTACAAATATACCAGCATATTTATAAAATTTAAACAACTTTCTGTTTATACAAAACGAATTACATACTCTATTGTTCATTGTTATGTAATAAAGGTATATAATAATCATTGTAATCAAGTTAAACATTGTTTTTTTTTATGTAAAAATATATTTAGAGGGCATAATCTGTTTGATTTAAATTTCAACAAATAACAAGGTCTTAACCCTTTTTTTCATATCCCGAACATTTACTTGATATCGATTTTCCAGTTCAATAAGACGATTCGATACACCGAATAAAGTAACAGCAACGATATAACCCAATTTTTCATAGTCTATAAATAATTTATCGATAATTAATAAATAATTAAACATGCGTAAAAGTCATATTTTAAAATATCCTTTACATGTATATGTATATACCTTAAACTTTACAAAGTGATATAATACTTTAAGGACCTAAATAACAAGTACTTAATAAAGAAAGGCCATATAATACACAATGCAAGGAATGTATAGGACATTTAGGAGTAGATAGAGAACATTAATAATATGTGTCTAATAGATAATTAAATTAACGCATATCGATCAACAATTGAAATTAACTCTATACTAATGGACATAACCATTCAAGTTATTTTGATTTTCAGCAAACCGAGTGCTTTTCATTAATAAACCACAACATGATAACATCATAAAATAATGTCACTAAAGTAAAAAAACTAGCAAATATATTTATGTATATAGAAGCAATAATACAAGAATTAGTGATATGGTTATTAATAGCTCACTCTTATTAGATGATAAATAATTTGATGACATTCGTTAGTTAATAAAAACGAAACGCGGCATACAATTTGCATATTAGATGACACGCACATTACGCGATAATCACATTTGAAGTTATTATTGCGGAAAAAAAAATAATACACGTTACTTTTTAAGCTTTCGTAAAAGTATGGGTTCGTATTTATGAATCGATCAATAAATTATACAGTTTCGTTAAAAAAAGCATGCATATACAGTATTTAATAAAATAATGACTCTAAATAGGTAAATACAGCTTTTCAATGTAAGAATAGATTTTCCGTGAAACATTATAGTTTCATGTATGCATTAAAACTAAGAACTATCGGTTTACTGAGCGGTAAGAGGTTAGGATACCTGAAGAATAAATTCTGTAGAGTTGCGTAATCATCTTAATAGCGTGGTTGATTAGCAGCGTTAGCCATCTGGGCGCGGACAGCTCTTTCACCGACATCACTTGCTACATTTTGCACATGTTCGTTGCGCAAAAATGTTGTAGCAAATTCTTGTTGCGCTTTCGACATACTCACAGCATCAAGAGAACGATAAATACGATGGATCTATGGGAAATATATTCGGTTTCTTACTTGAAACATATGACTTTATGATAGAAACAAGATTTCCAAGGTACCAACCTTGGTCAATAGTAGGAAATCACCGCACGCGGCAAGAACAAAACAAAAGGCAACAAAGAGTAGTACAAGGCCAACAAAGATTCCTTTGACCGATGAGTCAAACATTGTAATTGCCGTTATTATACCGCTATAAATTTCAAAAATTCAAAATCAAAATGTTGCAAATATAAGTTCGTTTTTAAAGATAAAAATCTTACCAAGTTCCAAAACCGGGAATACCAATGGCTTGGATCGCTGTTACAATTAATTGAAAGAAAAATACGAAGAAAAATACCATAAAGTTGAACGAGCTGTCATTTCTAAAATGGAAAATCATTTTAATTAAATAACAAATGTCAAATTATTAATATAGTAGAAAATACGTACTTGAAAGCTCTGTATGCAGGTCTAAACCAGCATAAAAAGGAGAACGGTGTAAACAGTATGAGGAATAATATTCCAAGACCGAACGTTGAGAATTTTTCATTACATAATATTAATATAAATCCACCAATAACATTCAAGACCAACACACAGCCATGGACTGTAATTTAAAAATAAAGAATATTTTGGACTTTGTTTCAGAGAACAACTATTATATCAATGTTTAATACATCGGACTTACACATCCATAAACGATACAGTTGCCTGACCACCTTCTGGAACTCTGATTGAATCTCAACCTCTATATCTTGGTAGAAACAAGGTTGGAAGCAACATTTGTCAGGCAAAGGTGGCCAATTGTTCCGTTTTGCTTTAATGTCAAGAATTTTTTATTAATATATTTATTTTTTATTAATAAATATATAGAATATATTATTAATTAAATACTCAAACTTACGATAATATAGGGTATTTCTCATGTCTTCTGTACTTGCTTTCAATTCTGGCTCTGTTTCATTAACAGTTGGCCGAGTAGGAGCATATGGAGGTGGTGGAGTTTTTGGAACGGATGGAAAAAGTGTCGCTGGTTGCTGGGTGGTTCCAATTCCATCATAAATTGGAGGATTTGCAGCACCTCTAACTTGTCCAGTCCCTTGTGTGCCTTGCTCTGCAAAAGGATTATAATCCTCCAAACCTCTACTAGCTGGTGTAGAGGCTACGGCTCTCTTAATTGCAGGATCCTGATTGAATTGAATCAATTAACAAATAAAACAGATTTACATACAGTTATGATCACTGTATGTTCATAAATTGGACAGTTTTATATATAGAATTAATGGTATGTAATGTATTTCTTTATTTGATACATGTTAATGATATTATAAATATGATTTGATTGATAATTACAAATTTACATATTACAGAATATAGTGAAAAATGTATTTGACTGAAACAGTTTCTTCAATATTCTTTCTGGTACAAATAAAACTAAATATATATGTGAAAAAATATAATATAGAAATATTATTAAATGATACGCGGTGAGACGCAATAAACATATACATTATTTAGCTTCCTCAAGAAAATGTAACTAAATTACAAATATTTAATTTCCATTTGACAGTTCTGCACGCAATATTGAAAGAAGCAGTGCATGCCTTGTTATAGCCTGCATTAAAATACTCACCGAAAATGGATCATTGATATTCGGTTCCCCGAAGGGATTCTCATCAAAACCAGACATCTTACTCGATGTTCACCAAAGCACTTTACAACGTACCGTTTAAAATTAATAAGACTTTGATACACTCAAAATAATCTTATCTAAACTTGCCTATACTTGATAATCCATTTCGTTGCAATTTCATACGATATCGCCGGTAGAGCAGTCGGGGAACATAATAGCCGTATGTGAACCAGTGATGCCAGATTGAGCACCGGGTGCACTACTCACACTATGCCAGATCACGCGTACGTGAGCTCGTGGAGTATCGGAAAGTCGACAAAGGCAAGCTGACGCATGCCCTCTTTCTCGATTCTCCGAAGCTGCCCGAAGTAATTTCGGACCGCCTCGTGGAAGTCGAGAGAGGAAGGCTCGCATTTGCCTTCTCGCTCTTGAACAACTGAAATTCGACCTCACGTCAACGACATACGATTCTAAGTCTCCACTGCCCAGGAAATTTTTACTTTCCGACCTATGTAGGCGCACATAAGCAAAGTACTATAATTAACAAAAATTTTGTGAAATTTTTCTTACGGAAATACACGTTTAAAGACCTCCTAATCATATTTTAACTATTGAAGAAAAAGAAATTTTTTTTTATTATTCCTATGTATGAGCGTACATATGTATATCATTTCAGATGTCACTTCTGATATATCTGGCAACGTATAACCATTACTACTGGCTACTGCCAGCCTCTCGCAGCCTCTGTTGGCTTCTGCTGGCCTCTGCTAACCTCTGCCAGCATGTGCGGACTTCTGCCTGCCTCTGCTGGCCTCTGCTGACCGCTGCTGACCACTTCTGATACTTCCGACAACGTATGCCGATTACTACTTGTTACTGCCTGCCCCTGTTGGTCTCTGCTTGCCACTGCTTGCCACTGCTGACCCCTACTGACCACTGCTGACCACTGCTGACCCCTACTGACCACTGCTGACACTTGTTAACAACTTCTGCCATGATATATATGTATTAAAACATTGTATAATGTAAATCTATGGCAATAAATGATATAATTACAAAGAATTCCATGTGTTCTCATCATTTTTTACCTTTCTTTTCCTCTCCAAATCATTACCTTAGTTATAAGACTCCCTGAAACTCCTTGGTTTCCCTGAACCCACTAGGAAGTCCTGAAACTCAGAACTTTGCTAAAAATTCAGGGTTTCCAAGAATTTTCGGCGTTTCCAAGAAATTCCAGGACTTTCCAATTGTTTCAGGACTTTCCAGCTGTTTCAGGACTTTCCAGCTGGTTCGGGATTTCCAAAGTGGTTTCAAAATTCGAAGGAGTTTCAGGACTTCCCAGTTGTTTCAGGGCTTTCCAGCTGTTTCAGGACTTTCCAGTTGTTTCAGGACTTCCCAGTTGTTTCAGGACTTTTTGACGAAAAAAATGAATTCTCGATTTTGCCAACAGGTACGAGAGCTGACAAATTCTGGACACTTTGGAAATCCGGAAATGTTCTGGGCAGTTTGGGATTAAAGTTTTTATTGGAAAAACGGAAAGAAAGGTAAAAATGATGAGAACACATAGAATTCTTTGAAATTATATCATTTATTGCCATAGATTTACATTATACAAAGTTTTAATACATATATATCATGGCAGAAGTTGTCAACAAGGCTCAGTAGTGGTCAGCAGAGGTCAGCAGGGGTCAGCAGGGGACAGGAGAAGCCTGCAGAGGTAAGCAGAGACCAGCAGGGGCAGGCAGTAACAAGTAGTAATCGTTATACGTTGTCGGAAGTATCAGGAGTGGTCAGCAGCGGTCAGCATAGGCCAGCGGAGGTTGGCAGAAGTCAGTAGTAATCGTTATACGTTGTCAGAAATATAAGCGGTGGTCAGCAGAAGCCAGTAGAGGCCGGGAGACGTTGCCATTAGCCTGTAGTAATCGTTATACGTTGTCAGAAGTATCAGGAGTGGTCAGCAGCGGTCAGCATAGGCCAGCGGAGGTTGGCAGAAGTCAGTAGAAATCGTTATACGTTGTCAGAAATATAAGCGGTGGTCAGCAGAGGCCAGCAGAGGCTGGGAGAGGCTAGCAGTAGCTAGTTGCAATCGTTATACGTTGCACGAAGTACCAGGAGTGGTCAGCACCGATCAGCAGTAGCCAGCAGTGGCAAGCAGAAACCAGCAGAGGCAACCAATAGCAAGTTCTAATCGTCATACGTTGTCAGAAGTATGAGGAATGGTCAGCACCGGTCAGCAGTAGCCAGCAGTGGCAAGCAGAAACCAGCAGAGGCAACCAATAGCAAGTTCTAATCGTCATACGTTGTCAGAAGTATGAGGAATGGTCAGCAGCGGTCAGCAGAGGCCGGCGGAGGTTGGCAGAAGTCAGTAGTAATCGTTATACGTTGTCAGAAATATAAGCGGTGGTCAGCAGAGGCCAGCAGAAACCAGTAGAGACCGCGAGACGTTGCCAGTAGCCCATAGTAATCGTTATACGTTGTCAGAAGTATAAGGAGTGGTCAGCAGCGGCCAGCAGAGGCCAGCGGAGGACTGTAGGAAAATTCAAAAGTGAGCCTTTCTCTCTCGACTCCCGCGAGGCGGTCCGAAATTACTTCGAGCAGCATCGGAGAATCGAGAAAGAGGGCATGTTTGCCTTTGTCGGCTTTCCGAAACTCCACGAGGTCACCTACGCGTGATCTGGCATGTGTGAGTAGGGCATCGTCGATGCTTTTCTGACACCTCTAATGTGGGCTAATGTCACGTCTATCAATAGTGGCGTTAGGTACGTTTCACAGAACGCAATATGATATTAAAGGGCGTTTTCAAGGCGATGGTTGAAAATTCTTAACACTAAACCTACCAGCACTTCATATATATCCATTCCTACTATGGCCGGTCAAATGACCAGTCTTTCTTTTTCTCTTTTACGAGGCAACGTACTTCTAATTTTTTCATTATATGTATAGAGAATTGTGTTACGAAGTTTATTAGATATCCTTCTCTTGTATGTCTGATATTTTCTCTTAAAACATTGAATTATAAGAACCTGTACAAAAATATTCGATACTTCTACTCTGAACGTGCATTAGTACTTTAATAGTATTAGTAAATTAGTAATTTTCATCGGATGTAAGATAAAACGCTCTTGAAAACAAATTTTCTTTCAAGTCGATACCATAGTTAATTCCAGAGAAAGCAATTATTTAAAATGTAGTGTATTGTATACAAATTTAAATGCATTTTCAATTAAATAAACAATTTATGATCCAGTTTGATCACACACCAGTCGTATGATCAATAGGAAGTGCTGAAACTTCTTTGAGTATATGGCGTCAAAGTAAATGTAAAAATAAACATAGAAGACAGCATAAATTATAGTAGTTGGTATAGTCATTGGAAAGAGGATGAAATGCCCTTTAAAACGAGCGTTCGAACAAGTCGATAGCTTTATTAGTTCCGGAGATATAGCGATTTTAGTTTCATGTCGACGCGGTGGCTAGTTCCGGAGATATAAGGGTCCGAAGCGTTTGTTTACGTTTCATTGAGATCAATGACCTCGCGCTGGCGAAAATAGTAAACAGTGCGAATTAAATTCTTGGACATATTACGCCGAAACTAGGTCACTCTGTCGCGAGTCACGTACGAGAAAGAGAGATACGACGCGACGCGTCAGACGGAGACAGAGATAGTCAAATTAAGAAAAATACCCTTTTACATAAATTACGATATCTCGAGAACGGAAAGTTGGATCGACATAAACCAAAAGCCATTTTAAAGGGGAGGCCTTGCCGCTTCTATCAATGGCTCAATAATTAATAAAACACTAGTCGTTTCGGAACTGCGCGCGTCTAAAGTTTAACTATTTTTAATACTCGTTGTTAGGCTGTTGTAAGACAGTCGAAACTGAAGATTCTCTCCTTTCGTCTTTTCTATACATATATTTACTATTTTTATCGGAAGCTAACTCGAATCTGATACAAAATTTTGCCCAGTTATTTACAAAAATATATAAATCATTCAACCGGTCGTGGTAGACAAGACAGACTACATATTTTTCTCAGAAAAGAAACAATAAGAATAGACGTGAACATTGTAAAATTCATTGTATGTATAACAAAAGTCGTGAAGTTAAATGGCGCTAAAATAATATTGCGTGTTAGAAATTCTAAACGAAATTTAAAAAACGGTCATTTGGCTAGTCGCGGTAGGTTCAGTGTTAAAGAATAAGTCCGTTCACGAAATACAGTCCGATCGAAATATTTCTAAACAATTAAGCATATCGCTTAAAACGTGTCATGAAACCAGGAAACGTATTAGGATTTGAAAAATTGAAATTTGGTTGAAAATTTAAAATTGAAAATTGGTGCTAGGAATTGCAGAGATAGTAGGAGCAGTGGAAGTTAGAGTTGCAGTTGTGATTGAAGGACTACTTGCAAGAATAGTTGCACTAGTAGATGTAATAATAGATAAAGTAATAGTAGAAATTACATTAATTATAGAAGTACCAGTAGCCTCAGCAGTAGTAACAATAAAAATAGCAGCTGCAGTTGCAATAACAGTAGTACTAATAACGATAGTAACATTAACAACTGCAGTAGATTATGCCAGCTACAGTGATCCTCTTACAAACACAGTAAAGATTCCCGAATTAGAATCAACGAGAAATTCAATTGCCACTCGTCGCAATTAACGTCTATTCTGTACCATGCAACAGTAGTTTCGGGTAAAAATGGACGACAGGTAACCGAAAGGAAAAGCGCACGTTGGTTCTCTTTTACTATCGTTAAAGATTTATTTCATAATATTACACCAACAACTATTATTGAATTTTTATATAATAATAATTAATAGATAATAATAATAATAATATTAATAATAATTAATAGATGATAATAGTAATAAAAATAAACATAATAATAATAATAATAATAATTATAAAGACAATAATAATTTTCTTTTTTTACTGCTTGAAAAATACGAATGAACGCTTACATACATACATTAATTAATTGCAATGTCTTACAATTAATGCAATAATAGCCTAAAGACGCGACGCGCGTTAGAAAATATGTCGACATTGTTCGCCATATATGTATATATATTTGTAGAATTATATATCATTTCTTTTACTCTCTCTTCTTCGTTTTTCAATCTGGGTCGCGTGAATCGATCGTCCTCTTTTTTTGTTTTTTTTTTCTTTTTTTTGTTTGTTTGTTTGTTTTGCTACAACG